TTTAAAGTTGCAGAAAAAAATAACATTAACAGCTAATTTTTTTTCCTAGGTTTTGACATTACTAGTACTATACCTTGAATAATTTGAGGGGTGAATTTTTTGTCAAACCATTCTTTAAAAATTTGTTTAACCATCCAGCATTTTCTTGCATGAGAGCAGTGAACTGGGAGATAGTCTGCTCTTATCCCTTTGAATGATCTTGTTTTATATTATCTACCAGTTTAAGTTTTAATTTAACCCCAGTTTAAGTTTTAATTTTCGTAGCATAGTTATTATTATTCTTTCTTTCAGGGGTCTGTCTAGGTTTTTCTAAGAAGTACCTATTTTGTGAAAACTTAGGCATAATTTGTAAGAAAGTACAAATTATATTAAAAAATCAGCACAAAAATATGGATTTATCCTAAGTGACACAAAAATAAAATTTTAGGAAGTATTTTGCGTAACTCTCGTTTTTCCTACAGTTGAATTTGTGAAGGTACCGCTAAACGGTAGTAAATTCGGCCTGGACAGACCCCTTTCTTTACTGAACTTATGTTCAGGAGTTGCGGTTCGTTTTCAAAAGCCAATGTCCATGCAACCAAATATTTACGGAACAGTCAAGTTTCGTCGATATTGTAAATTAACTTGTTCATATCAAGGTCCTTTTGATTCCAAAAAGTTTTAAAATTCCATTTTAAAACCTTCTGCAGCTTGAATGTCACCACTTAGTTTCTCACCTGAAAGACTGATTTCATGGATCCTGTGATGTTTTTTAAATCGTGTCAACCATCATGATGATGCATCGATATATCCTTCTAGATCTAGCATTTCAAAAAATTGTTTTGCTTTTGCAGAAACAATCGGACCAGAAATAGGAATTCATCACTTCTAATTTGCATTATCTATTGCAAGGGAGTCGCTTCTAGCTCTTCATATATGTGTTAGTTTTCATAGTTTTTCTTTTTTTCATTGATGAAGAATTATCTGACGTAGATGCAAATTCAATTGATTTAAAAGTTATTCATTGTGAATCTTATTCACGCGATTTAAAAATCGTGCATCAGTATTTGTGTTAACGTGATTCAAAAATCCAATATCTTGTTTTGTTTTTACAAATTTTAGAAATCAATATCGCTATTCGTATTCACGCGAGTTTAAATCCAATGTCACTATTTGTACTGACGGGATCTAAAAATCATGTGTTGTGATCTGTATTTACGCGATTCAAAAACTCGCTATTGTAATTTGNTTTTTTTTTTTTTTTTCTTTTTTCAAATTTGTCAAAATTTACAAAACGACACTTATGAGGATAAAAAATTTAAAATTAGTGCTTCGATTACGATTTGTGACCCTAAACTGTTCAAGTAAACATTTTTTTAAATTATTATTTCAGTTTCTTTCATTTCTGAATGAAAATTGATAAGTTCCTGTTAAGTAAATTAATAATGATTTATGCTCACATAAGAGCTCCCTCGTTACGCATTCCAATGTACATCAAGCATCAGAAAAATTCTGATAAACTAAAATATCATATAGCAACAATTGTTGCGAAGAATTGCTTGAGACAATAATACTTCTTAAATATGAAACTTTTTAAACTTCCTTATATTTTTAAAAAGTGCAGGCATAATTCAATTTTGTTCTTTAATTTACAGGTTGGTCTACGTCAATTAGATATGTCTCTCTTATGTCAATTATGGTCTCTTAATGAATCAATACACGAATATAAACAACTCATTCAAGATCGTATGTCACTTAGTCTTTCTCCTATACACCCTTCTTCCCCCGGTTGGGACAATGGAATTGAATCACCTAGTAGTGAAGAACAAGGAGAAATAAACAGTAAATCATTTGAAGGTGACAATTCTATGGTTATGCCTTCAAATGGAGAAAATCAAACTGTTCAATCTCGAAAACTTTCTTCCATGGATAGCACGTCTCATTCTAGTTTAGAATTCGGTGATATATAACAAAGTTTTTGAATCCAAAAGGAATTAATAACTCTTGCATTTATTGTAGGTAGATCACAAATAGATTTTAATTTTCATCCAATTGAAAATTGATTTTGTTGATATATTATTAATAATTTTTATGAAAAATTAACAAAAGTAAGAATGTATAAGCATGTTAAGATGAATCGATAGTAATATAGAATTCATTTGTTGATTATGATTTTATGTTTTTATATTTAGATTATATACTTATTGTATGTAAATGTGTTAAAAAACAAAATAACTTTTTAAAGAAAAAAATAAATATACCATATATATACTATTTACTGTCGTATTTTAAACTTCTAATACTTGTTGAAAGTGGGGGGGATTTGTTTTTGTTAAACTGTCATTAAAAAATTCTTGCCATGCATAAAAAAATGCTTGCCATAATAACTAAATATCAGTATGCATTTGTTATAGAAAATACAATGAGACCTCACGTTGCAGACACTCCTGAAAAACGGACACCTCCCATGGCGAAATTTTTTTTTTAATTCCCTGTGAATCTTCTATGAATAAACCATTATGTACCATTACAAAGCAGACACTCCCGTAACTGGACATGTACATTCTATTTATGTTCTGCAATGTCATTTTTAGTTTCTTCAAGCCGGACTGAAAAACACTATTTATACTTTCCTCAATTGCCTCTTTCCACCATTTTTTTAAGCATGTAAGTTTTTTGCCTCAACAGCAGCTAAAAATATTATTAAACTATTTCACTACAAAAGACTCAATCATTCTCCTGTCACCTTTCTATATCTTAGCAAAGGAAAGGAGAAAATGATTCTGCTCATGTGAAATATTTTGAACAACGGTATCTTTTGATCTTTTAAGGTGAACAACACAGGTTATGTGACCCCTCATGTAAAAATGATGTATTCAATACTTTCAATTCCCCTTTCCCATTGAAAATTTCTTTCTTCTTATCATTAAAAAAAGAGAAGAGAAATCTAGTCATTTAGGTGTTCATATAAATCAAACATTTATTCAGACTCTTGAAAAACAAATATAATACGGTGTCTTACAGCTATCGCCATTTTTCTTTTTCTATGTATCACTTGAGGTTCACTTTCAAGAAGGTATTGCCAAGTTTCCTATCAAGTAATGGGAATATGTTAGTAGGTGTAAACCTATTGATTGGAACAGACTAAATAGAAAGTGAAAACATGAACTATTAAAACTTGTATTGAGAAACTGAGATATTTTTATATTTATCCAAAAATTATTAAAGTCGGTGTAAAAATGCGAAATGATTTAAAAATGTTCCATGAAGATTTCGTAAGTTGTAGTAGCTTGAAACAAATTTTTATCACATCTTTTAACTGGATAAAAATCAATTGAATTTCTTTTTGAACTGTTAATATTATAATTTTTGCTAAGTTTAAATAAAAATCTATGTTAATAGTTTTTACAGATTATTTATTTTTATATCATTGCAATTATTCTAAATACAATTTATGGCTTTATCCTTCTTTTTAATGTGCCCTTCCCGTAAACAGCAAATATCTTAAAAGGGAAAAAAAACAATCGATTCTGCTTAACTGAGGTTTCACTGTATTCCTTTTTAGCTTGTTTTTGTATGTTGTGTTACGCTAGTGATATGCTGTGACATTGAAAAATTAATTAATTATCTACTGCTGTATTGATTTATACTGATGTTTAAATTACAAAAAAAAAATTTAAAAAATGTTTGTGTTTTTATGTGTGGACAGGGATATTACCAGACTTATTCACATGCTACTACCTAGTTGCACTT